ACATGAAAGCTAAGCATAGTTTCCTGCCTTGATAGTCCCAGCTTCCCAGATACTCTTGGGAGTGCTGAGGCAGGAGGATTGCCTGAGTCTAGGAGTCTAGGAATTTGAGGCTTGTCTGGGCCTCAAAAACAGGAGCAGCAGTAACAAAAACAATAATCATGCATCAACCCTTTGGGACCATGCTAAATTAAATAAACTAGATACAAAGTGGAAGTGCCCCATTATCCTGCTAATATAAAGTTCATGGAGTGGTCAGATTTATACACAAAAACTAGAGTGATGGTTGCCACGGGCTGGAGTGGGGAGGGGCAGGGGTTACTCACTGGGTAAAGAGTGGAGCTGGGGATGATGAAGAGATTTGGGGGTAGATGTTGATATGGTTGGTTGGTTGATTTTTTGTTTGTTTTTGTTTTTTATATTTTTGGTTGTGAGCCTAGCCTTTAACGGCTGAGCTGTCCCTCCAGCCCATTTGTTTTTGTTTTTTGTTTTGCGAGACAGGGTTTCTCTGTAGCTTTGGAGGCTGTCCTGGAACTAGCTCTTGTAGACCAGGCTGGTCTTGAACTCACAGAGATCCGCCTGCCTCTGCCTCTGCCTCCCGAGTGCTGGGATTAAAGTCGTGCACCACCAACGCCCGGCTGGTTGGTTGGCTTTTAGAGACACAGTTTCTCTGTGTAGCTCTGGCTGTCCTGGAACTCACTCTGTGGACCAGACTGGCCTTGAACTCACAGAAATCCACCTGCCTCTAGATGTTGGTGTTTTTTGGCAGGGTGTTTGCTGAGATTTTATTGAGTCTATAGATCAAATTCCATAGAAAATTAGCTATTTTATTTTGCTGCTATTTCATAATAAATGTTCTTTTTTATCTATGTAACTGGACTATCATTCCATTTATATAGATCTTATTGCTGGTGTTTTAGAAACAAGGTCTCACGTAGCTGACCGAGTGTCTGAGGGTGACCTTGAACTCCTGATCCTCCTGCGTTACCCGCCAATTTCTGGGTCTACAGGAATGCACCACCACATCTAGCTTGTAGCATCTTTAAAGTCTTTTCATTAGAGTTTTGTGGTCTCCCTTGTAGAGAAAGTACTTATCTTTCTCCACCTTAAAATTGAGTTAGGCCGGGAAGGTGGTGGTGCATGCCTTTAATTCCAGCACTCGGGAGGCAGAGGCAGGCGGATCTCTGTGAGTTCAAGACCAGCCTGGTCTACAAGAGCTAGTTCCAGGACAGCCTCCAAAGCCACAGAGAAAGCCTGTCTCCAAAAACAAACAAACAACAACAACAAAAAAGAGTATAAATGTAGCTAGTCTCTTGATTAAATTCAAGCTCATCAATAGTGGTTCTCCCCAATCTCTACCTCCCATACACTGGAGTTTGGGGGGATGGGGCAGGGACTGCCATGCCCACCTGGCATTTATGTGAGTTCTAGGAATCCAAACTCTGGTCCTCATTCTTGCTGCCTACACAGCAAACACTCAGCTACTGAGCCACCTCCCTGGATTGATTTCTTTTTTTTTTTTTAAAGATTTTATTTATTTATTATGTATACAACATTCTGCTTCCATGTATATCTGCACACCACAAGAGGGCACCAGATCTCATAAGGGATGGTTGTGAGCCGCCATGTGGTTGCTGGGGATTGAATTCAGGACCTCTGGAAGAGCAGTCAGTGCTCTTAACCTCTGAGCCATCTCTCCAGCCCTGGATTGGTTTCTTAAAGATTATTTTATTTAAGACAAAGCCTCATGTAACTAAATCTGGCCTCAAACACACTAGTAACAGAGAATGGCCTTGAACTTATTATTATTATTTTAAGATTTATTAATATAATTTATGTATGCTCTATCTGCATGTACACCTGAATGCCAGAAGAGGACATCAGATCCCATTATAGGTGGTTGTGAGCCACCATGTGGTTGTTGGGAACTGAACTCAGGTCCTTTGGAAGAGCAGCCAGTGTTCTTAACTGTTGAGCCATCTCTGCCTAGGATAGGCTTTTCAACTTTTTAAGTTTTATTGCTGGAGTACAAGAAAGCACTGGCCATAATGTCACATGGGCTACTTAGCAAAATCCTGTCTCAGAAAAAGAGAAAAACTGCTCTACTCATTAACTAACAGCAGTCATGGTTGCCTGCACAAGACCAGCACAAGAGCCAGGCATGGTGGTGTATGCCTTTAGTCCTAGCACTCAAGATGTAGGCATATCTCTGTGAGTTCCTAGCCAGTTTGATCTATGTCGTGAGTTCCGGGACATCCAGTGCTACATAGTGAGACCCTGTGTCAAAAATCAAGCACAGTGGTGCTGGAGAGATGGCTCTGCAATTAAGAGCACTGACTGCTCTTCCAGAAAATCCAGGTTCAATTGCCAACACTCACATGATAGCTCACAACTGTCTATAACTCCAGTTCTAGAGATCTGACACCTTCATGCAGACATACATGCACATAAAATACCAATGCACATAAAATAAAAACAAATAAATTATTTTTAAAAAAACAAGCAAAAAAGACCTACACAAGATCAATCCAGTCAATTTTCTAGCATGACAGGGGAGCTACTGACTGTTGGTGACTTCTGAGGTTGAATCAGTTTTCTTTAAGGCATGGCCCTTCTAGGTTGACCACACTCCAGCGGATGGCCCAACACCCATACTCAAATCGGACTCAGTAGATATCTGGGAATTCAAAGTCAGCACCATCTATCTAATAAGTTCTGGGGTAGCCTGTCTCAAAAAAAAAAAAAAGGCTCACAAAGTTGGAAAGGAGTGGGAAATTGGGTGATGGATCTGAGAGAAATTAGAGGGAGGGATGGGGGTGAATACATCAAAATACCTTTTATACATATGTGAAATTCTCAAAAAAAGAGAAAAATAATTGAGTCATGGTTAACTTGAAGAATTATTGCACCCAGTGATGGTGGCACACACCTTTAATCCCAGCATTCGGAAAGCAGAGACAGGAGGATCTCTATGAGTTCAAGCCTAGCCTGGTCTACAGAGTTCCAGGACAGCCAGGGCTACACAGAGAAATCCTGTCTCCAAAAAACAAAACAAAACAAAAACCACAGACATGAGCTAGATAAAGGGAGAATCATAACCAATGGTGAGAGTGCACCTAGGAAAAACATGGAGGCTAAACTGGGTGTGGACAGCTAGCTCAGGTCAAGCCAAAGAGAAGTGTGCTTCAAGCAGTCTCAAATGATGGTAAGGGAAACCCAAACCAAGTCAGAGCAGATCTTTCAATACTGCCTCTGAGTATCACTTACTGGACTCATTCCCTTCCTCATAAAAATGTTTATTCCCTGGGGAGGCTGAGGCAGCACAAATAGATGACAAATGCTAGGTTAACATGGGCTACACAGCAAAACCCTGTCTGTAATCTCAGCACCTTGAGGCTGAGGCAGGAAGAGCTCCAGAGTCCTAGGTCAGCCTGGACTATAGAATAAGAACCTGTCTCAGGATAGTTTTTAATTTAAATTTATCGAGCATTTACTATGTGTCAATCTCTGGTCAAAGTGCCTTAGATGTGGTAGGTAACTCTACCCATGCTTTTTGGGCTTTTTGTTTTATTTGATTTTCTTGTTGTTTTCTAGTCAGGATCTCACTATGGAGACCAGGCTAGACTTGAACTCACTATGGAAACCACTTGCTTCTGCCTCTCAAGCACTTCGATTAAGGATGTGAACAACCACACCCAACTTATGCTACTTCTTACATAACAAGAAACTGTAGTTCAGAATTGAGTTCTAGAATAGCCAGGGCTATGTAGTGAGACCTTGTCTGAAAAAATGTTTTTTAATGAGGCAGCTTGCTAGGCCTGGTGATGTAGGCCTGAGGCAGGGGAATTGCCACAAGTTCAAGGAGGACACTACATATCAAGTTCTTAGGCAACATAATGAGCCCCTGCTGTAAAATAAAAGCAAAAAGAGGACTAGAGCTATAGCCCGGTGGTGGAGCATTTATTTAGCCTGCACACGTCCTGGGTTTGATCCCTAGTATTGCCAAAAGAAATTAAATCCAACAATCCTCAAACTCAAATTATCTCCCACTCTCAGTGTCATGTAGCCCTGGGCTGACTTCAAATTCCATTTGTAGCCAAGAAGGACCTTGAACTTCTGATCCTCTGGCCACCGCCTCCTCAGGGCTCCCTTCATACTGAACCTAGCTGCTTGGTTTTCAGTTCTTTGAGATGGAGTTTTGCTCTATAGCCAAAATGGCTTTGAATTATGTAGTCCTTAAACTCATAGCAATCCCCCTGCTCCAGCCTCCCAACTGCAGGAGATATAGGCATGAGCCACCATGTTCAACTAAATTTTCTTTTTTGTTTGTTTGTTTAGTTTTTGAGACAGGAATTCTTTGTGTAGCCCCGGCTGTCCTAGAACCAGCTCTGTAGACCAGGCAGGCCTCAAACTCACAGAGATCCACCTGCCTCTGCCTTCCAAGTGCTGGGATTAAAGGAGTGTACTACCAGTGCCTGGCTCAACTAAGTTTTCTTAAAATAGATGGCATTTACTAAGATTATTCTTAGGTGTGTATGTTTTGGGATAAAGTGTAACATCCTACCTTTAATTATTTATTTCTGGCTATTGATTTGTATGTAAAATTGCTTTTCCTAAAATTGGAGATAATAAAATTACCACTCCCAGACTCTAAAAATAGAAAAGAAGATTCTTTATTCAATAAAGTTCAAAACGTTCAGAAAAGATCTACGGCCATGTGAAAGGCTACACAGACAATGCCACTCTTGGGCATTGTTTCTGTATGTTTATTTAACACATTCAAATTAGTGTCAGATATGCATTTCCACCTATCTCATTTTCCTCATCCCAAGAAGATGACACGTGTTGTTGACTGCAACGAGGCCACCTCCCTCAAATTGCGTGGCTCTCATGACCCATCCTAAGTCTCCCAGTCCAGGCTAATCATTGACAGGGCTTTACAATCACAGGCTTTTTTGCTGGAGCGCTGATAAAGTCAGTCCAGCAGTTAGCAGCAAATGAAGGCAGGCAGGCAGTGCAGCCGGGTCTCCAGGGAATGAATGGATTTTCTTCAGCTCTGATGAAAGAAACACACGCTCTAAGAAAACAATGTCCAACAGGGCACTGCAAAGATCTGTCGTGCTGTCAGCGTTTGTTCTGCTGCGAGCTGTTACCGGATTGTCTGGAGACGGGAAAGCGATATGGGATAAAAAACAGTACGTGAGTCCGGTGAATGCAAGTCAGCTGTTTCTCTATGACACTTTCCCTAAAAACTTTTTCTGGGGTGTTGGAACTGGAGCATTTCAAGTGGAAGGGAATTGGCAGGCAGACGGAAGAGGACCCTCGATTTGGGATCGTTTCATCTACACACACCTGAGAGATGTCAGCATCACAGAGAAATCCGCCGACAGTTACATTTTTCTGGAAAAAGATTTGTTGGCTCTGGATTTTTTAGGAGTTTCTTTTTATCAGTTCTCAATCTCCTGGCCACGGTTGTTCCCCAATGGAACAGTAGCATCCGTGAATGCAAAAGGTCTCCAATACTACAACAAACTTCTGGACTCGCTGATACTTAGGAATATTGAGCCCGTTGTTACCTTATACCATTGGGATTTGCCTTTGGCGCTACAGGAAGACTATGGGGGTTGGAAAAATGCAACTATGATAGATCTCTTCAATGACTATGCCACATACTGCTTCCAGACCTTTGGAGACCGTGTCAAGTATTGGATTACAATTCACAACCCTTACCTGGTTGCTTGGCATGGGTTTGCCACAGGTATGCATGCGCCAGGAGAGACGGGAAATTTAACAGCTGTCTACATTGTGGGACACAACCTGATCAAGGTACTGTACAGCTGGCTTCTCACAAGAGCTTTAGAACACAGGAGTGGGGGTTAGAAGAAACACTCTGCTTAAGGAGTAGGGTAGTAAAAACCAACATCATTTTATGTTAACTCACAAATTCTGTCCTTGAATTTTGTTTAAAGTAGGATATGTTTCATCTTCCAAAGCTGGTATTAATATGTTAGTGTAGTCAGTTTCCTTCACAGCTGGAACTTAAGGCCATTTTTAAAAATCTATAGTTCTAGTATATAATGTAGCTCTAGTATATAGTATATTTATAGTATATAGTATAGCTAAAGTAATGTGAAAGTAAGAGCCTGGTTTTATCCTAGGGGAAAGCAGCTCTTTACACACTGAGAGATTGGGTTTCTTTTTGACAATGCATCCTGATTCCAGAATAATGTTAATGCACAGTTATTCTCAATTCAGATGAGTTGCTTTTGTTCTTAGCAGTACTTATCAATAGTAAGGGGTAGCTAACCTGTGCATATTAAATACAGAAAATGAAATGATTTTCAGTCCACATTTGGCATGACTTGTGTCACATAACAAAACAGGTAGGAGCTAAATGAAACCAATAATACAGAAATTGGGAATACTAGGCCCTGCTGAGATATTTAAAACAATGTGTTTCAGAAGTCAAACTTTATGCTGGGAAATGTTCCTTGTATTAAAACAATAATGAAAGTGGAAGAAAAATAATAGCTCCTACTGGGTACCACAGGTATGGGAAGCAGTTTTCGTGTAACACGTTTGACCCTCATAACAACCATGAAATAGGCCCTCATTTTTACTACTCCCATTTTAAAGATGGGGGAACTGAAACTCAATGAGATTCAATATCTTTGCCATTAAAAAAAAATCTTGCCATGTTTCAGAATAAAATTCAGCAGCCATGAACCTGAGCTGCATGATTGGCAACATAAATAAATGTTCTTTGCTTTAAATCATTTTATTAAGAGTAAGCTAGGGACGGCCTCATGGGAAGCTAACATCTGAAATCAGACACAACTTGTTGGATAAATAGTTCACTTGAGAAAAATAAATTACTCTAAATACTTGTTACATTTTTAAGATGAAAAAAATTATAAATAACATTTTATAATGTGCTCGGGGAAACATTTAACTTCTAAGGCATCAAAATTTCAAATATGTGAAAACAGAAAAAGTGCCCAGGAACATAAAACTTCTCCATCTAGCCTTTCTTTTCATTGGATTTTTTGAGTTCGTGTAAATATATATATCTTATATATTTAGTTCGATGGTTTTGGTCACACCTTCCCTTGGCAAGAAACAGATTGCATTATGCTTTCAAGGTCTTTTGTTGCATGCAAAATAGCTTTTTTAAAGTGATATTTGTGTGTTTTCCCTTTTCCTCTATTTCATCAACCAGACTTCTTGTTTTTTAAATTTTTTTCTATTGCATTTATGCCTGACTGAGTGTGTGTGTGTGTGCACGTGTGTGTGAAAATGTGTGCTCACACCAGTCCTGTGCACGTGCCCTAGTACACTTGTGGAGGTCAGAGGACAACTTACAGGAGTCAGTTCTCTCCTCCCACCATGTGGGTCCTGGGGAACAAACTCAGGTCATCAGGCTTGACTATAAGTGCCCTGAGCCACTGAGCCACTGAGCCATCTCAGAAGGTTTTATTTTGAAATGATCATGTTTCCCCAAGTCTCTTCTCTGATGTCCTTATGATTTCTAAACCACTAGCCTAAATAAGGTCTAAGTAGTCCCCTGAAATCAATCAGACAGTGAAATTCGTGGCACAGCCCAATGACCTATTGCACCAAAGAGAAATCTGGCAAGGCTTTGGTAACCTGGAGTGAACTTATTCCCTGCGTCTCTCTCTGCCTTTTCTTTAACATAAAAGAGATTGTTTTGACATTTTATGCTACAACAGAGCATTTTACTTCTTTTTTCTCTTCTTGACCCAAAAGAAGCATTCTTTAGAGTTAGTTCAAAAACATATATTAAATTAAAGCTAACTTAAAACTCAAGTGTTATGTGATCTGAGGATGCTTTATTCTCTACTTCTCGGAGGTTTTGAAAAACCATGTAACTGCTAAGTCATTCTAGTTCTAGACTGATCTTGAAAAGTTTATCTTAATTTTAAATGTCCTGGTTTAGGGACTGCCCAGCTCACTACATACAAACCTGAAATTTGGGCTTTTGTTTGTTTGTTTGTTTTGTTTTTAAGATGAAGCCTCATACAGCCCAGTCTGGCCTTGAATTTGTTATATTTGCTATACATGGGGATGGCCTTGAAATTCTTACCCTTCTACCTCACCTCTGTGCCTTGGCTAGAGGCAGGAACTGCCATTCCTGGTTTATGTAGTTTTGGAGATCAAACCTAATATTTTGTGCATAACTAGAACTCCCAATTGAGTCACATCTCCAGCCATGATTTGGCTTAGACTCTGTTATTGAAGATAATTTACAGTTCCTTAAAGAAAGTTTATACCTCTGGCGTGAATTTCCCATAATCTCACCTACAAAGGATGTTCTGTTCTGAGTTGTTAATAGTGTTTGGAGCGGAATAAGGGTGAGTTTTGTGCTTATCCATTATTAAGCATCTAATTAGATTAAATCTTGAATGTAATTGTCACAACAGCTTTACAAGATAGCAATTATCATGCCCATTTGACAGAATAATATTTGAAATATGCATCATGTTGCTTTCCTGAATAAAATATATTGGTGACTTCCCAAAGCTTTTGGGCTAACATCTTAATTTGTCACCCAGCCCTTCAAACATAACCCCCGCCTTCACATCAGCCTACTTGCTGGCCACTCTCTCATCCTGCTATCATGTCACACAACATGATGTGTTGTTGGTAGTGGCCCAGGTTTACCTTGCTAGTCCTCTGCACCAAGCCCTCCTACCATGTTCTATCCAGATAAAATGCCTTCCAAAGCCCTGCTTTTCCCATCCAATGTTATGAAAAACTTCTTGCTTTAGACCGTTACCCAATCAGAGGTAACTGTCCCTTCTGCAGTCTCACAGCAGTCTTATCATCTAATCCTTTTTTTTTTTTTTATGTGCATTGGTGTTTTGTCTTCATGTGTCTCTGTGTGAGGGTGCTGAACTTACAGACAGTTGCAAGCTTCCATGGGTCAGGGAGGAGGGGGGACTGATCCCTGGTCCTCTGGAGGAGCAACCAGTGCTCTTAACCTATGACTGAGCCATCTCTCCAGCCCCTGATCAGTTAGACTAAGAGTTCCTACAGAGACTTTCTTTGTTGCTGCTGTTTTTGTTTGCTTGCTTCTTTTTTTTTTTTTTTTTTTTTTTTTTTTTTTTTTTTTTTTTTTTTTTTTCTTTTTCGAGACAGGGTTTTTCTGTGTAGCTTTTGGAGCCTATCCTGGCACTCACTCTGGAGACCAGGCTGGCCTTGAACTCACAGCGATCGGCCTGCCTCTGCCTCCCGAGTGCTGGGATTAAAGGCGTGCGCCACCAACGCCAGGCTGTTTGCTTGCTTCTTTAGTTTTGTGTTTTTAAATCGTGTTTATTTAGTTTGAGATGGAGAGGCATACTGAGGCACAGGTGTGTGGGTCTTAGGGATGGAACTCGGGTCCTCAGGCTTGGTGGGAAGTAGTTTTCCCTGATGAGCCATCTCACCTGCACTGTTTGCTTGCTTTTTGGTTTCATGTTTCCAGCACCTAACACAGAACGTTTGGCACGTGTTAGAGTATAGATGTCCATTGAGAGAATACTTCCGGGTTCTAACTTAATCTCTGTAATCAAAGAGCCAACTCCAAGCTCATTCTTCCTGCCTCATTGTGTTGTCACTTATTCTTGAAATATTGCCGATATTAATCTGGTGGTGTATTGGTGAGGATGTGTTGGCTGCAAGTAACAAATTGAATTTAAGTTGCCTTTAAGCAAAAAAGAGCAATTTCCTGGCTGACTAAGCAGGGATAATGGACCCAGCATCTAGGATGCCCTCAGAGGGTCCTTACCTCCCTCCCTCACCTCCGTTCCTTCTTATAGGTTGATGTTGGTTTCTCCTCTTTAGAAGAAGGATTTTTAGCTGGGCTTGAAGGCATGTACCTTTAATCCTAATGTTCAGGAAATCCATCTTTGTGAATTTGAGGTCTTCTCCTTCTACTCGAGTTCCAGGCCAACCAGGGCAACAGCAAAACCCTGTGGCAAAATTTAAAGTTCAGCAGTTCAATGGGCTTGGCAATACATGCCCAATGTACCAACCTCAGCACTCACAAACTGGAAGCAGGAAGATTTTGAGTTCTAGGCCAGCCTGCATTACATAGTAAGAACCTGTCTATAAATAAATAAATAAATAAATAAATAAATAGGACTAGTAGGATGGCTCAACTAATAAGGCACCTGCTGCCAAGCCTGGTGACCTGGTGGAAGGAGAGAAGCTCCCGTGAGGTCTGTGGCATGCACCCATCACCCCCAATACACACACATACATATGCCTACAAAATGAATAAGATAAAATTTTCAAAATAAGTAAGTTAAGTTTCATAGATAGTTGACCTGCTTAGGTGGTACCCTTCTTTCTTTGATCACCAGAGCTAAAAGAGTTCATATTAGTCAAGGCAATAATGGCATTCATTTTTCATTCTATTTTTTGTGGGGCAGGGTTAGGGACAGGGTTTCTCTGTGGCTTTGGAGGCTGTCCTGGAACTAGCTCTTGTAGACCCAGCTGGTCCCGAACCAAAGAGATATGCCTGCCTCTGCCTTCCGAGTGCTGGGATCAAAGGTGTGTGCCACCACTGCCAGGCAAAAATTATTTATTTTATGTGCATTGGTATTTTGCCTGCATGTGTATCTGTGTGAATGTATTGGATCCCCAGGGATTTGAGTTACAATTGTGAGCTGCGATATGGGTGCTCGGAATTGAACCCAGGTCCTCTGGAAGAGCAGCCAGTGCTCTTAACCTCTGAGCCATCTCTCTGGCTACTTTTAAATCCATAAATACGAATGATAATCTAAGTTTGTAAATTTGTCCCTGAAAGTGGAGCACCTGAGAGCCTCTGAGTAATAGTCCCAAGGGTTGGGAGTGTGAGTTTGCTTATGAAGCAGTCA